CCCTGCACGCTCTGCGCCATCACGTTGGCGCCATGACACGCCATGAGCAGCCGGTTGCGGGGCTGCACGCGGTGGGCGAAGCGCATGAAGGCCAGTGAGTAGAAGATGAGCGCCACGGTCATGCGGCCGCTGATGATCTCCGGGGAGGCCTTCCTGTCCTGAAAGGCGGCCAGCGGCAGGCCCCAGTTGGCCAGGGGACCCCAAAAGTGCGTGCTGGTCACGTAGTCGCGGAACTCCTTGTTCTTCACGTAGTCCAACGCCTTGCGCCACAGCGCCGCCGCCATCGCCGCCGGGGTCACGGAGCAGTGGGAGCACCGACGCCAATGGATGCCCAGCCAGCTCACAATCACGTGGGCATGGAGACCGCGCCTCAGCCGGGCTGGCGTAAAGTGCAACACACAGCACAGGCCGCTGTCGAGTGCGCGCCTCTGGGGGCGGGATCGTGGCCTCGCTTTCGCGCCTCCAGCGACTGCCGTAAAGCAAGGCAGCACGTGCCACTGCTGTGTGTGTGTGCTCGCTTTCCGGTCTCCAGCAACTGCCGTAAAGCAAGGCAGCACGTGCCACTGCTGTGTGTGTGTGCTCGCTTTCCGGTCTCCAGCAACTGCCGTAAAGCAAGGCAGCACGTGCCACTGCTGTGTGTGTGCTCGCTTTCCCGTCTCCAGCGATTGCCGTAAAGCAAGGCAGACAGCACGTGCCGCTGTACAGGCGTGCAGTGCCGGACAGGGGCGCAGCTTCGCACTCCGTAATGCGACTGCCGTGAAGCACGTCGAACAGCACGTGCTGCTGCTGTGTGTTGCCTGTGGGAGCCCTGCCTTCACGTGACCACGGAGGTGTGCAGAAGGCGCGTGGGTGCCCCTTGAGCAAAGGTGGAACCAGAGCCCATCGCTGGCCCGCACTGAGCTGTGGCCGCTTAAAACTCTCAAGGCTCCATCAGCCCCAGGAAGGTGACAACGTGGCTGCCCGTGTGGCCTCAGCCATACAGACGAAACTTGGCTCGTTCAGTTTGTGGAGAGCGTTGACTGGAAGCTGATACGAAATTCTTCAACCAGGTAAACATTGTAGTCCGTACACAATTTGCCGGAGTGTTGCTTGCAGACATAGTTACAGGTCACCCCGAAATATCCCAGAACTGGCTCCTAACAAGGACATTCTCCTAACTTAACCACAATACAATAATCTGGTCAGACGCTTAACATTTAGTATAGTACTTTACTGCGCAGTGCATATTGAACTCTCACAGTTTTATGGCTGTTTTTAGATTTTATTTATTTTTAATGATTTTATTGATCTCAGAGAGGAAGGGAGAGGGAGAGAGAGAGATAGAAGCACCCATGATGAGAGAGAAGCATGATCGGCTGCCTCCTGCACGCCCCACACTGGGGATCCAGCCCATAACCCCGGCCTGTGCCCTGAGCGGGAATCGAACCCTGACCTGGCTCATAGGTTGATACTCAGCCACTGAGCCACACCGGCCAGGATATGGCTGTTGTTTTTTTCTTATTGGAGAGCGGGGAGATCTAGGATCTAAGCAAGATTCACATTTAGTTATTAGATTAATCTTTTAATCTTCCTTAATCTAGAATAGGTCTACAGCAGGGGTGGGCAAACTTTTTGACTCGAGGGCCACAATGGGGTCTTAAACTGGACTGGAGGGCGGGAACAAAAGCATGGATGGAGTGTTTGTGTGAACTAATATAAATTCAAAGTAAACATCATTACATAAAAGGGTACAGTCTTTTTTTTTTTTTTTAGTTTTATTCATTTCAAACGGGCCGGATCCGGCCTGCGGGCCGTAGTTTGCCCACAGTTGGCTTAGGGAATATAGTCAATACTGTAACTATATGTAGT